CAATCCATGTTAGGAAGTGTTATTTTCCAAAGACAGTAATCACAAAGAAAGAGAAACTAATTGAACTAACCAAATGGTTATGTATTAAAGAGTCTAGAGGAAAACAGTTTCACAACAAGGCCTATTACCAGAGAGTCAACCTCTTTGCAGCCCTTGATTTGAAAATGTTTTTCTCTAGACTCTAAACATAAAAGTTTGTTGTTTCCTAACAACTTGCTTTGACATGATTCAGAGTAATAACAAGTTAAAACATGCATTTTAAATTAATATTCTCAATACACTTTGGAGACCGATCCCCTTTAAAAAGATGGTTGGTTATTGCAAAATATTCTTATGTAAGATCTACAACCTAAAACATTTGTTAAAAAAATTCTAGAAGATATCAAAATGGACACATATTTAAAATATGCCATAGTAATCATTATCTAGATTTTAAAGAGCAACAAGTTTAAAAAAAATTATGTTTGGTTTTCTGTTGACCACAAAGTGGTAATAAATCTCTTTTTTTTTAAAGATTCAGGTCTTGCCTGTAAAGGTAATATGATATTAGTCCCTGGGAAATATTGGGTTCCTTGATAAGGATGCTTCGTTACAAACTGATCATGTATGACAAGATAATTGGAGTTCATCCATTTTAGAGCCATCTCCGCCTTCATCCTAGAACCTAATCTATCTCTCATGAGAGGAAACATTGAACATCCTATTAAACCAAGAAACTTACATACACCGGTATATCAAACATCCTAAACCTACATGACACATAACACATACTCATTAGATTACAAAATCTCATGTTCACCAGCCAATATTCTCTCTATCTCTCTCTTTCTGTGCCCCTTTTTCTCAATCTATCTCCCTACCTTCATTACTACTATCTCCCTCCCTCTCTCTCTTTCAGTTCTTTATGTTTTTCTCTTTAAATCTAATTCACAATTTTTCTAAAATCTTAGTTTCTATGTAGCTTTAAATCTTATATTCAGACTGAAAATGGATTATGAATTATCTAACAATATGAGTAGAAATACTGCATGTTAATAACAAATATTAATAATATGTATTATGGACACAAACAGTTTATTCAGCACATTTATCTGCTTGTATTACTTTTCCAAACTCAAATTTACAATAACCAATACTATATAAGCCTTATGAACAGACAGATGATCCATGTGCATATTAGGCTCAATCCAAGTAAATACCCCACCATAGCACTATTAATGGGATTGGTAATTGGTATCACAAAAATGTTAATCACATATATGTATGCCATTAAATTGCTTGTGACAATGATTATAATGACAAAGACAGGGACAGAATCCCCCATTAGCATGCCTTCCCACGACCCTAACTAAGATGTCAGAATAATGTGATTTTTGTCCTATTAATCTCACGGTGAAGCTCATGCTGGGTATACTCATTAAAGATAATTATGATACGATATTGAATTCCGATATCAATTTGTGTCCCCATAGAAACTAATGACTATTAGGTATGACAACAGCACAGAGAGGATGATATGGGAATTAGAGCCTAATTACCCGATCGTGGAGGGAATTAGAAAAGTAACTGCCGAGAGCAAGAAGGGCATAAACTCCAAAGATGGGTAAAATGATTTGAAAGCTGTTGAGCCGATATGATGTGTGAAGTAATTAAGTTTGTGTAGAAATGTAATGATATATATTATAAAACCCATGAGTGAAGGTGTTAGTATATAGACTTTACTGGAAAACTTGTTTAGCACAAGGCTAGCACAAGGCTAATTAATCTGCCACAAGGTTCATATATGGATTATCAACATGAAATAACTTTGGAACAGTATGTGGACAGTTTCAAGTGATCAAGGGTGGATCATTTTGATCTTTTTCTCTTCTCCTTATCCAATCCAATCCATTCTATTTATATATCCTCATGCACCTTTAATTCTCTCTCTCTCTCTCTCTCTCTCTCTCTCTTTCTTTGATTTCACATTTTCACTATCCCTCTTTCTATCATTTCTTCTCTCTACTTTCCTCTGTCCTCCCCATCTCTCCCATACCTATAACTCTCCCACCCTCCCTCCCTCTCTCTGATTTCTCTCTCTCTCTCTCTCTCTCTCTCTCTCTCTCTCTCACTCTCTCTCTCACTCTCTCTCTCTCTCTCTCTCTCTCTCTCTCTCTCTCTCTCTCTCTCATACAACCCCTTTCTCCTTTTCTTTCTCTCTCTTTTCTCTAATTACCAATATGCTCATGAAGGCAAATCGGTCAATAACCCCCAAATGCCGGAACATATTACAAGTCGTCGCATATTACGCCAAAGACATTAAAACAGCTATATATGATCAAAGTATATTAATCAAATAAGTATACTTGCCTTAATGAATGTGATTCCATAATTTTGTTTACACGTACTGCTCAGAACAACACATAGGTTCCTTTACTCCGGACTGTGCATGGTCAGACCACACTCCTGACAATAACTGTTTAACTGTCCACAACTAATGTACCATTTAATATTGGTCTTCTCATTCAATACCATTCCGACTCAATAGACCTGTATGCATTGTCTAGCAAACTAAAATTTCAAAGGAAAGATATTTCCATCAAAATGAATCATGTATTGATTGCACATAATTACTGCAGAAGGTCGAGTAAAGAAAATAATCTAGAGCAAGTATCATAATGTATTAGATAGCATAATAGGGGGTTTATATTTACAACTGTTATGGCAATGGTAGGTATTCTTTCCTGGAGGGAGGCAATTACAGATCTATAATTATGATTGTCGTTTACTGTATCCTTGCCAGCTCGACCCCCACAGCTTTAAAAGGCGTGGGTTCGTGTGAATCATGCAGCGTAGATGCACGCAACTCACAAGCATATTTCAAGATATAACAAACATTAATAGTGCCAAAGTTTTGGCAAGGAATGTGCTTTCACATTGTGATGCATGGCTAAAATGTATGACATCAATGTCATGAATAGCATACATCAAGCTTGCTAACAAACAAATATATTTTGCATCATTAATTTCTTTTAATTATTCTGTCTTATCTTGATGGACTCAAATATTTTTAAACAAGAGCTTTTCAACTACACGGAGTCAATGCCTAGCTACGCCGTCGGTGCATTTCTCACTTCTGCACATTTCACGAGAAGCTTATTACCGTAAGCGCTCTGAAATTCTATAAGCTCTATAATCTATGGCCTTTGACCTACTTACCCCAAAATCTAATCAGATCGTCTTCCTATGGTGATACACACTATCACCAGGTTTGAAGCCCACACCTTTAGTGATTCCTGAGATATTGCGATAACAAGGCTAATACCTGAAATTTTCATAAATTGACCTCTATGACCTTTAATCTTTGACCTTTGACATACTTACTTCAATTCAGATCTTCTTCCTATGGTCCTACATCATAAATTTATCTCCCTGACCTTTGATCTTTGACCTACTTACTCCAAAATCTACTCAGGTCGTCTTCCTTTGGTGCTACATATGATCACCAAGTTTAAAGTTCATACCTCAAGTGGTTCTTGAGTTATCGTGTTAACATGAAAGCGGGATAGACATACGGCCTCCGGCACCACCTTCGCAATGATTATTTGCAATAATTATTATTTAGTCTAAAAGACAATACCAATATGATCATTAAAGATATCACAGTATTGTCAATGTTAGTCATCTGCATGTACTCAGTATGAACCTGTAATATGTTGTCTCTGTTGTCTAGGCCTAATTCTGTTGTTATTTTCATTCTACTGACATTTATGTTGTGCTTGTGCCAAAGTGTTTGATATGGCTGATGATAATTGCATAGAAAGAAATCAAGACAGAAATAGCTAATCTAAACATGCAAGAATTTCTCTTTCATGATTTGCATGGGTGTACCGGTAGGTTAAAAATAAAGCAACCATTTTGACATCGCCGTTACAATGATTATTTTGTGATCATCCAACACTCTTGAGCTACCTATATAGTAGTGACACCCTATTTCTATCCTTGATATCCAGTAGCTATTTAATCACAAAGCACCGATCGTTTATCCTGCTTGTTCATTCTATTTTCTGACATTCGTGGTGATTGCACTAATTCACTAATGCCTATGGATGAATGTTCTTAACCTCAGGGCAAGTACAAAGGTCAGACCTTCCCAAGTAGGGTTCACATGACAGTCTGTGAACTTGAAGTTAAGGTCATGGGTTATAAACTTCAAAGTTATCTTGTAGTTAGGGACAGTGCAGACGGTTATGAAACTTGAAGTTAAAAACCATGACAGATCTTAAGGTTAGCGCATTAACTATGAGCAGTGGGGTCGTCACTATTATGTGCCTAGGCTAAGTTTGGTGATGCTGAAGAGAATGATCTCATACCGTACTGATTGCGAGGGAGAGAAGTGTCATATTAGATCAGACTATCTCTAATTTTAATCTATACGGATCAAGAATGAATTCTGCTCTCCAAATGTATTCATTTAATATGCTTCCTACTAGAAAGTAAAGAGGCATTTTTAACAGGCTCAATGTATTCACATGTATGCAGATGAATAATAAAAATATCCTGTTATTTTTTAGCTCATTATCACATTATGATACAATGTCTCTTTGCGCATCTAGAGGACTTAGGACATTATCATTCCTACCAGGTTACCCACTACCTACACCTGGGTCGAGTGTGGCAAATGTAGATTAATGCCTTGCCAAAGGACATTAGTGCTGCAGGATGGAATCAAACCCTGTACGTTGCGGTTCAGTCTGGAGATTTATCCACTAGACCACAAAATCTCTACGTGCTACAGGTAACGTGGTGACTTTAATAGTAGGGACTTTTAGATTTGCACGTCGACATAGTGGACTGCTACGTGTGATGTCCTTTTAAGGCCAAAGGACGTCACACGTAGCAGCCCACCATGTCGACGTGCAAATCTAGAAGTCACTATTAAATTCAGTAATAAAGCATGAGGCTCTTGTTAACGGTTCAAACATTGTTTTTCTCATTGGTTGAGCTACTGTTTTACTTACTTTGAAAAGCGTGCTTGCCCAGATCCCAGGCTACCATTGCCCATCTTCTCGTTGCTATGGAAACCAGCATCCAGTGGGCTGATCCTTGCCAATGGGGTTCCGGTGGAGGTGGGTAGAGGAGATCGTGTAGGCATGAGATTCTCCTTGGAATGGAAGCGCCGTGTCCCTAGCCTGGGTGAACCATGGGGTGTGGATGGCTGACTGGAGAGACTGCTGGAGTCTGAGGCATCAGAAGGATACACACCCCCTCCTGGCTGATACTGGTGTCGTCGCTTCCGCTGCAAGAAAACAAATCAACTTATTTGTCAACAAGAAATGTTAAGATAAAATTGTTTTTTACATCCCATACATTACATGAACATGTCCTGTTCAAATGCAAGGGGATACAACTCCAAGAAGACTGAAATTATTCAAAGAAACCATTGTTTCTGAAATTTTAAGAAATAAATATAAATCTACAACCTTAATATGTAATCTGTTAAAGAGTCAGAAAGTTGCACACTCTGAGTTACACCCTTCTGGCTCTCAAGTTCAATTTCTATACCTTTTTCCAATCATCTATCTAAAAATAATAAATAAATAAAATTGAGGGGCCTACATGCCGAAAAAAATACATAAACATGATTCTCCCAACACTAAGCACTAAGTCAGCAGCATGACCCTATGGCTTCAATCCAAGGAAGGTCATATCAAAAGGGATAACATTGCATTCATAACCAGGAAAATTTGTGATGACTGACTAACATATCATTGATGAAAACCACCTGATATAGTTTCTGAGATAAAAAGATATTAATCTAGGCCAATGACGTCAATTTATGGAGTGCCTCATGTGCTAGTGCCAACAGACAGATATACTGGGAACCTGAACATTTAACAACCATAATGAACAAACATAACCATCAAACTTTGACAACTTTTTAAGAAAAAGAATTGATATTGAATGAAAGGTACAAATTACTATTTGGGGCTTTGATGAAAAATTCATCGAAAGTGTTGGGAACATCAAGAAAATCCCCAAAACACCAGGTGAATTTTTCTTTCAGAGAAATTACATTTGTAGGGGATTACAGCAAATTTTGTTCATGTATGACAATTGACTGTAATCTCCAATACTCTGCTTTTGTGTTACAGGCATATATTGTTATTGTCAATGCCAATGTCCAATGTGCCTAAGTTGAAATGAATTCATCAAATTGAAGATATACAACAAAGGCTATGTCTTTTCAGCAGCCGCCAAGATCTCAACAGAAAAGAACACATTGTGACTTTTACCAAATGTTTCACTACACATATTGGCAAAAGCTAGCTTTCTGCTTTTCTTCTAATACACATGTTTTGTAACTTTGATTGTTTACATCACAAATCATAGTCTTGACTTCAGGAAATTCACTGACCTGGACTGAATGACTCATATAATATCCTATCAAACCCAGATATCTACTCTACTCGTCACAGTAGATCAATGTCACTGCCCCTTCATCATTTCAAGTCTCTAGAAATGTGGCTTTACTTAGAATGAAGAAACCTTTTCTGACTTCCTGGTATTGAATGACTCTGATAAGCGAGTCCCTACTGAAAAGAACTGGCAAGAAATTGCGTCTGAGTTTTAATCTGGTAATAACTGTTGTGTTTCATTTCTTTTTACTTTTTAATGTCACTCCTATCTCATGACGGGTCCAACCTTTCTATACCCATCTCATCCATCCACTCCAAATTGGACTACTATCCAATCTTGGAATTTGTAGAGAGCCAATATCTATCTCTATGATTCTTTTTGAACTACTTTCTTCATTATTCCTTCACTATTCTTCATAATGTTCACATTTTCATTAGAAAAATACCCTAATAGTCTACTAAGAGAGGGTGGAGCAGTGTTTCATAGTAATGCACTTTAGAATGAAATCCCCTTTCTACAAATTACCCAGCAACAGGGGGTTAAATACCCTTTCTGATCCCTATCTGTTTTCTGGCTAGACCAACCATTTAATTTGCTGCCTATCAATTGCTCCCTCCCTGTGCCCCTAGAACATGAAGAGCACAAAAATGAGGAGAAGGGGAAGGGGGTAAAAAATAACTCAAGCCTTACAGCATCTTAAAGTTAACCACCCCCTCCATGTACTTCCAGAACATGGGTGCATACTTGCATCAGTCACAGTGCTACCAAGAAGAAGCACAAGTTTTATATTCTCAAACCCATTCAATTTTTGTTTAATTCAGTGTGAAAGGGAAGAATATGTCCAAAAAGGATAATCTATCAGAAACATTCAGATAGTACAATCGCCTCCAGCCCTCACCTTTTCCTGCCAGGTCCATGGTTAAAGTGATTCACCCCTACCCCCACCATCATGACATCATCCTATCAACAAATTTGTCACCAAGGGGGTCAAATGACCCCCCCTCCTAATCCCCTTCTCCATGTCACCCTTCAGCTAGGTCAAGTCTAGACTCTTATCTTCTTAGCGATGATATATGTGAACCATGGTTGCTCGGCAACAACAAAATCTTTATTACATTTCATAAAATAAAAAAATTAAAAAATTAAGCACATGCCTGCAAAAAATTTATGTCTGGCTTAAAATTTTAAAGACAGAATTTTAAACAGATTTAATGACAAGCTTGATTTTGTGGTTGTTGTTGGTTGTTTTCACCACTCAAACTCAGAATTACACAAATTTCCCTTGGTTACCTCCTCTCGCCAAAATCAATTTGAAGTAAGACTCCCATGGTTAGATTAACTAACATGGCAGCTTCATCCAAAGTAAATCATATCAACAATTTATCAGTGATTGACAAAATCAATGAGCTAGTTTGAAATACAAGGTGACAAATCAATAAAATACATTCCTATCCTATGATCATGAATTCCCTTTTCACTGCGATACACTAATAAATATCAGATATTTTAGCAAAATTATCTGTATAACAACTAAATGCCTAGGAAGTACTTCACAGTTCATTAACTCTCATAAGGGCTCCTATTTTCTTTGAAATGCAGATGTCTATGTAATAAGTACATTTAATATTATTATATATTATCAAATATTTCTGATTTGCACTCTTTACATTTTGCTGTGAGCATATACATTTTAGTAAGTAACAATTAGGTGATATAGGCATAAATCTTCGTAGGCAAAAATTACTCAATAAAAATCTTGAAAGCCTCTTAATGGAATAAATCAAGTTAAAAAAATGAGATCTTATATTAATTATCCCTATCTCCAACCATCAATGACTTTTTCATGAGCTATAAGTATTGGAAAACCATGTCCACAGGTTTTACCAAAAATATGTGCGATTAATGGTGATGTTGCAGAATTTCAGGGCCTCTACATTCGTGGGAGGGAGGTAGAGAGAGGCCGAATGCCTAATGAAAAGTCAGGAAAAGACTTCAAGCTGCAAACTTCCTCTAAATGAAATATACTGTCACTCAATTACCCATAAACTAATCTCACATACTCCCACTGAATTTTCTGCATTTCTCATGAATTGGAATTATTTGTGCTTCTAAGGCATACATAAAATGTATACACAGATTCATATATTCCATTTACGGGATCCAATTAATTGTCTAAAGTAGGTTGAAACTGCAGTTTTCATTCAAAGTTATAGTTTTAATTTGAAAATGATTTTGAAAAAGATTCCTTTAAGAGATGTCAAGATGTGAGGCTCTTAAAATGAATTTCAAGTTTTGATAGAAGGGACTTTAAACAATCTGGCAATATTTTCTTTGGTAATTTTGTTGAGGAGTTATAGAGGGAATTTAGTTTTGAATGATAACATGCTTCCTGGGTGTGAGCCAACAATTCTTTCAACAAAGGGAATACAGTTCCTGTAGTTGTTCGAGACACAGCCTATAATTACAATGATTAAATTAAAAACGATACTAAATCTGCCCTTCTTTCAAGAAAGTGCAGTACAGCCTTAATAGTTATGTGGCACAATCCTTCTTTTCTTGATACAGTGTCTATTTCATTATTGGGGGGGGGGGGGGGTTAGCTGCTCATAACACTATTGATTTGTTTTAGTGTAATTGCTCTTTGAATAATATACCTTTTACACTAATTATAACTTAACTCATGGTGTCAATGCGGTGATTCTAAAAGGGTTTTGAGCACACATTTTTGATAAGTCATGTTTAGATTGGACAGGTCTACTTCCCTTCCAGACGGCTACTACAACATTAGCTCGGAAACTTGCTGATAAGCTGCTGTTGTTTTTAGACGCTGCCTGTATGCGTGAGAGGTCATTAGAAAATTGAAATCTACATTACCGAAACTAACCAAGGTACAAATACACAACAAAATACTACCTAACTTCAGATTTTGCCTGACCGAATGTCATAAAGAATATGAACCAGATGGAACTAATAGGTAAGGCAGGATACATCACAAATCACATGACTATTAAACACATTCCTGATCTAAACCTTTTTAGCCAACTTTAAAACATCATTTAATCTAATATCTTTAAATTTACTTTCATGATTTTTTTTATAATGAATACCAATATCTACATGTGTAGTACTACAATTTGGTGAAATTTTAGTTTAATTTATTCCTTTGTTTTTATATGTTTACCTCTGTATTTGCTTTGCTTGTTGCAATATGCTTCAATGTTATTGTTTCTATCCTTATTTAAAAGAAGATTTCCCAATCACACTCACATAACTAGATTAATGACAAATAATGGATTTCCTAGATTTGTTTAATTTGGCTTTCAATTGGTAAAGACTCAAAATAACCCACCTTTCTTGCAATGACAAGCTGCACTATACTACCACTAGCCTGAAGGATATCCACAACAATGGTATGGGTGACATTCAGGAGACCGGTTCCGTTGATCAGTAAAATCTCATCTCCTTTCTGTAATCTTCCATCCCTGTAAGTAGAAAACATACATTCAAAATAAACCATCAAAATCAGTGTAAAGGAATTAGCTTATGAGATATGTTATAACAGTTTAAATACACCTTTGCCCATAGGGTTGGAGTGATTTCTTAACCTCTTTTCATTAAACGATTGTGACAATATGATTTAATCTTGATAGATAAAGTTATATCTTCTCAGAACTTTATTGATCGATCTCTATTGGTCAAGCTTTATTGATGAATAAAGTTCTGTAAATATATAAACTTTATCTATCAAGAATACATAATATGTCACAATCAATTCATGAAAAAGGGAACAGTAAGGAAACGTAATTCCAACTTCATGGAAAACACTGTACAATATAAAATGTATTTATTATCTGGGGGAATGAGTAAACTACAATCCATTTGAATTGATACATTTTAAATAATACATTCCTATAAAAATTTTGTTCAAAATTCAGGAATTTATGAACAAATGTGTTCTTTTCTCTTCCCAAAAAAAAAAAATCAATATCTTCATCCTTAAATCAGATTGATCATTTATCCCAACAGTGTAGCAATGACTATATTCATTTATAGACCCCATAACTACATCATAAAACATGTAATATTTCACTATTTCCTTATGCAGAGTATACTTTTAAACTATTTCAATAGTCATGCTTTCTTCATAATCAAATGGTTCCTTCAAAATAAACGGTACCCCAAAACCTAAAGGAAAATCAATTCATCAATTGATATCATTTGATTTCAATTCCATGGAAACTATTTATGCTTTAAAAAAAAGAGGCACCTTTGATTTGATTGCTAAATGCCTGTGCATGAGTCACTCACATCAGGACAATCTGGTTATAATCTCTATCAAACGTACAAATAAATAAGCAAATACTTATCCAAACTGTTCTGATGCCCTTGCCCCCATGTCACTACACATTTAGCTATCATCTCATTGCTATTAATCCCATATGATAAAGATGAAAGCTACCTCTCCCTCCAGCAGATTGCGTCAATCTGTTATCATCAATTAACCATTCTAGGTCACTGGATGCTCAGTACATAGGGAATTCGATTTTTTTTCCAATAAACATATTCTGATGAACATGTCCTGGCTTTTTTATCATCAAAAACAATTTATTCCCCTAATCATCTTAGATTTAAATACTAAATCCTTTTCCAAATATATACTGCATTCAAGGTCAAGATATCAATTTACAATTTTAGTCATTATGATCATGTTATGAGGTATTAATTTGTTCTTTTCTCTGTGGAGGGAAGATATCTAATCCAAAGCTTTACATGAAGTTAATAGAGACCACTTTCTTTCATACAAATTTTGAAAGGTTGTACTTAACAACAATTTGTATTATGATGTAGCTAGTTCTAAGGTGCTAGATATAAAAGTGACTTGATGGCTAAGTTTTTTTATTTTTCTTAGTGAATATTTTTTTTAATAATTCAAAATCAGAACAAAGACGAGTAGACTAAGTTGTTATTGTTGTTGTTGGGTTATTACTTTGTTTTGTAAGTTGACAAACAACATAAACCCAGATGTTTGAAATTTCCCAGACTTCAACCGTTTCTACAGGTGAATATTCATGACCTGAATTCTTCGAACCTTCTTGCTCCCAATCGGAAACAAAACCAGGATGACTCATAATTTCCTTCTTTCCTATTATTGAAATTCCACTGAAAGATTCACCCTTTAAGAAGTACACTGGAATAATCCTATTCTCAGAGCCAAAGGAGTACAGAGATAACACCATCCAGGCTCCAAGCTGACAACAATACTGAAGAGCAACATTTGCCACTTTTATGATGCGATCAAGACTTCAAATTACATTTTTGTCTGTCTAATTGCCATAGACGTAGCAACGGAGACAAACTTACAGACAGTGAAACTTCACGGCAATCTCATACAAATCTACCAACACTCCTACACCATCAACATGAACATGTATATATAATGAAGGGTCCGTCTTGTGCTGCATACAGTAAAATGATTTGAAATAAAACAAACTTACTCCAAACAGTATTTACAAACATAAACATTCTTAACGGCTCCATGCACTCATCCATGGAACAGAGTACCGGTAGGCCTACCTGGCAAGAATCCAGCAGATGATTCTTGATTTGACAGGTGAATCTTCACAATATACAAAATTACATAATATTGAAATAGTTCAGTACGGCGGGGTATAAATGGCCGATCTATGTGCACAGTGGTAGAATTTTGAAGAGATTGCAAGTCAACAGGGAGGCATATAATACGAGCTTCTTGGCTTAGAGAACAACGGTGCTATTGGTTCACTCTCTACAAAGCCCTACAAGTATTCTCACTTTTTCTTCTCTTTGCTTACAATAGGGATTATCCTAATGACTAGTAAAGGTACTGGTGTCCATTCAGTCCTCTCTACTCCAATGATTCTTATTAACCAAGAAACCCTCATAACAAGCACTGACTCTAAAGTTATGAAGGGGTAACCGATAGGTCATGATAAGTCCTATTCGATATGTCCAGTCATCTGATATCTATGTATGTAAAAAAGTAAGAAAACAACTTCTGCTTTCATAACTGTTGTAAGTACAAAACTACAAATCCCAGATTAATAATCATATATTGGTTAATTCAATCTGAACAAACTAGAACAGGCTATTTATAAGGTTGTGATGCACTTGACCCAGCAAGATATGACCAGAATATAGAGACCAGATGCATTGTAGCATACAGGATGCTTCAAAAATGAAATAATTAACTCTATCAGAAGAGTCTTGAATAATAAAAGTTAAATGTCATTTTCTTTCAACACAAACCATGAAGGCCTACGTGAAGATCTACTGAGTACTCCCTAAACATTTAAACAAAACTTTCAAATAATGAAGAAATCACACTTATCTATTTGTTCTCATTATGGACTCGACATGTTACTTGGTCATTAATTTAACACATTGGCATCTTTAAAACGAGAGGACTCAAAATGTCATGTTTTTTAAATTCTGAGTCCAAAATGGACAATGCAACGTCCCAGGGTGTATTGTCAACACTTACCTGGGAATTCTACCAACTGTCTTCAGTGATCAACCCACTCATACCCTCTATATATCGCTAGTACAGGAACTTCCTATGTCCTTGGTATTGCCTATCTTATCCAGTTTAGATATGATTATTCACGGCTGCTTTCCCTATACCATGAGCCAAGACTGAAAATTTGAAATTATATATATATATATACTGGTATAACAAATATAAATGTGGTAAGCTCTATTAGGAAGCTTAATAATTAAAAATGACTTAAACTTATATTTCTATACATGTAAATATTGGATATGATCATGACATTTTGTAATGCTTTGTAATCATACCAAAGCATAATTCTAAATCAAGTTTCCAAACTTGGAAATGTTTTTTCTTGTCCTGTACCTTCTCCTGAATTGAAACATAGGATTGTCTACCTGGCGGCAACTAAAATTGCAACATATCCAGAAATTTGTTATCCTTCTGGTTCTCGAACTCAGAGTTAAGTTTGACTTAGGATCTTTGTCAAATACCCCCTGATCCGTGTTAGTGTCAAGTCTTGCCTAAAGACTTTCTGTTTAATTTTTTTGTAAAGCCCAGTTTCCCTGAAGTGATCTTGTTTTACTATAAGTTTATAATTCTTTCAGCAACAAATCAAATTTAAAACATCCCCTCTCTGCTCTCAATTGTCTCGTTTCCAAGCACTTAGGTTTTCTTGATGAATATCCATTTCCCCTACCACCTTCTTCTAAACTTATTAACAATAGCTCTTCATTATAACAGACCTAGCGGTAAATTGAATATCCCTTCTAATTACCCAAAATTTCCTGTAGTGGTGTGACGTAAAGACTGTGTTTGTCAACTGTTAAATACCAGACCAATTTGTGCTCCTAATTCTATGACATCATAGGGGTCATGCTCGGGATTCCCCTAGACAAACATATTTGTATATAACTTTGCAATAATTCTTGCTGACATACAAGTGTATTCCACAGATTTAACAAGAAGGTTCATCCAAAGGATTTAGTAAGGTATATAGAGTGACCACAAAATAAGGAACTAGCAACAACAACAATAACAATCAAGCAATACCAGTATCTAATATATGAATCTGAATATACACGATATGAAAACAGATTTGATATGGAAATGCAAACAAATATACTTTATTTTATTTCTGCTTTTCTTTTCTTTTTTTTGCATATTTTATTTCTCGCTTCAGTTGTTGCTGCTGTTATCATCCATAATATCATCATATTCCACGACTGATACAATAACTAAGAAAATTCACCTTGAATGTAACTTTTACATTATCCAAATCCCTTTCAGTGTAAATTGAAACAATTATATGTACAAGATGATATACCAAAATGTTTCTGATTTTTTAAAGAAATCACATAAAAGCAAAGCATTGATGACCCAATGTCTTGCCTTGTCTCTCAAGACTAATACAAAACTGGAAATGTACCTGTTAGGCATTACAAATTACTTGGTATACATACAGAGAGTGATCCAGGTCATGATACAACCCTAGATAACAAGGCAATTGAGATGCAGTAACTTATCAACAGCTGCTGTGAGCAAAACATGTTCTCACCCATTTAATATCATATGCCATTGTTATAGAGACTTTAAAATCAATACTTTATCATTTATACCTTTTCAAAAGCTGCCTTCTGTCCTCAAAATCGTCAATTTTATATCGGACTGCAATCTATTTTCTGCTTATATTTGACATTCATTTAATGGGCTAATGTAGAGTTAACACATTTCAATTTGTAATAATCATACTAGATCTGGGGGGTATTTCACAAAGATCCTAAGTCGAACTTATCTCTAAGTTGGACTTTATAATTATGGAAAGCCGTTAGCATCATTGAAAATATTTTGTAAAAATTATTTTAAAGGCATAACATGTTGATTCAAATCATTCATATTTCCTATTATCTTGGGAGATTTTATGTTCTTGATGTGGAATTTATGAAAAGTCTTAAA